GAAGAGGGGCCGGTCAAGGGAAGAGGGGCCGGTCAAGGGAAGAGGGGATGAGGCTGGTAGGTAGGAGGTGGGGGTGCGGGTTGGTCAGTGAGGTGGGAGGAGCGGATAGGTGGGAGAAAAGACGCACAGGTCAAGGAGCCGGGAACGAGTTGGGCCGGTTTTGGGATAAGGTCGGGGGTGGGGAGATTTTGAAGCTTGGGAAGTCCACAATGAGACCATTGGGCTGCAGGGTTCCCAAGCGAAATATGAGGCGCTGTTCCTGCAACCTTCGGGTGGCATTGTTGTGGCACTGGAGGAGGCCCAGGATGGACATATTGTCCAAGGAGTGGGAGGGAGAGTTGAAGTGGTTCGAGACTGGGAGGTGCAGTCGTTTGTCACGAACCGAGCATTGGTGCTCCACAAAGCGGTCTCCAAGCCTCCGCTTGGTTTCCCCGATGTAGAGGAGGCCACATCTGGAACAGCGGATACAATAGACCACATTAGCAGATGTGGAGGTGAACATTTGTTAAGTGTGGAAGGTTTTCTTGGGGCCTGGGATGGGGGTGAGGGGGGAGGTGTAGGGAGAGGTGTAGGGGCAGGTGTAGCACTTCCTGCAGTTGCAGGGAAAAGTGCCGGGGGTGGTGGGGCTAGTGGGCAGTGTGGAGCAGACAAGGGAGTCAGGGAGAGAGCGGTCCCTCCGGAAAGCAGATAAGGGTGGGGAGGGAAATATGTCCTTGGCAGTGGGGTCAGATTGCAGGTGGCGGAAGTGGCGGAGGATGATGCGTTGGATCCGGAGGTTGGTGGGGTGATTACGTGCGGATGAGGGAGATTCTGTCATTGTTGTTATTGCAGGGAGGGAGTGTGAGGGATGAGTTGCAGGAAACATGAGAGACACGGTCGAGGGCATTTTCGACCACTGTGGAGGGAAAGTTGCGGATCTTGAAAAACGAGGACATCTGGGATGTCTGGGAGTGGAATGCCTCATCTTGGGAGCAGATGCAGTGGAGGCAAAGGAATTGGGAGTAGGGAATGGCATTCTTGCAGGAAGGTGGGTGAAAGGAGGTGTATTCTAGGTAGCTGTGGGAGTCGGTGGGCTTGAAATAGATATCGGTTTCCAGGGTGGTTGCCAGAGATGGAAACAGAGCGGTCCAGGAAGGAGAGAGAGGTATCGGCGACGGTCCAGATAAACTTAAGGTTGGGGTGGAAGGTGTTAGCAAAGTGGATGAACTGTTCGAGCTCCTTGTGGGAGCACGAAGCGGTGCCAATACAGTCATCGATATAACAGAGGAAGTGGCAGGGGATGGGGCCAGTGTAGCTTCGGAAGAGGGATTTGTTCCACGTATCCTACAAAGAGGCTTTGTGGAACACCTACACTTGGTTCATGACAAACGTCTGCAGCTCCCAGTCGTGAACCACTTCAACTCCCCCTCCCACTCCCACTCCCACTCCTTGGACAACATATCCGTTCTGAGCCTCCTCCAGTGCCACAATGATGCCACCCAAAGGTTGCTGGAACAGCGCCTCATATTTCGCTTGGGAACCCTGTAGCCCAATGGTCTCAATGTGGACTTCACAAGCTTCAAAATCTCCCCTCCCCCTACCGCATCCCAAAACCGGCCCAGCTCGTCCCCGCCTCCTTGACCTGTCCGTCTTTTCTCCCACCTCACTGACCATCCCCACCACCTCCTACCTACCAGCCTCATCCCCGCCTTCTTGACCTGTCCATCTTTCCTTGATTGACCAACCCCTATCCTAACTCCCCATTTACACTCACCTTTACTGGCTCCATCCCCACCTCCTTGACCTGTCCGTCCCCTCTCCACCCATGTGCTCCTTTATCTACCTTCCATCTGCCTCCCCCCCCTCTCTATTTATTTCAGAGTCTCCTTGCCCTCCCCCATTTCTGAAAAAGGGTCCAGACCCAAAACGTCAGCCTTCCTGCTCCTCTGATGCTGCTCGGCCTGTTGTGTTCATCCAGTTCTACACCTTGTTATCTCAGATTCTGCAGTTCCTACTATCTCTCAGATTTACCAGAATGGTGCCTGGAATGGAGGGTTTGAGTTTCAAGGAGAGGCTGGGACTTTTTCCACTGGAGCGTAGAAGATTGAGGGCTGACCTTATAGAGGTTTATAAAATCATGTGGGGTATAGATAAGGTGAATGGCGAAAATCTTTTACCGAGGGTGGGGGATTTCAAGTTTAGGGGGCATATTTTTAAGGTGAGAGGAGAAAGATTTTAAAAAGACATGAAAGGCAAGTTTGTTTTTTTTTAAACACAGAGTGGTTCATGCGTGGAATGAACTGCCAGAGAAAGTGGTAGATGCAGGAACATTTACAACTTTAAAAGACATTTAAAGGAGTACATGAATAAGAAACGTTTGGACGGATATGGGCCAAGCACAAGCGAGTGGGACCAGTTTCATTTGGGATTATGGACTGGTAGGACTGAAAGGTCTGTTTCTGTTCTGGATGAATTAGTGAGATTTTGAATCTGTTTATGATGTTTGTAATGGTTTTGTCTAGTGTAATATAAATTCATGTTTTTGTTCATTAAATATTTCATTCCGGTGTTCCGTGTTAAAAATACACAGGCAGACTTTTGCAAATGTGTTCATTAGCTGACCTCAATGGTTGAAAATGTCAGGGTTCATCAAGCTCACTTGTGTACTATTAACAACAAGAGCCATTACACCATGGAATACAGCATTCAAGGCAGCCTCTCACCACCACCTTACGAAGAGCAGTTAGGGATGGGCAATAATTACAGGCCTTGCCAGCAATGAGCTAACCCCCAAAAATGAAATAAAAACCTTCTAGAAGTGCCTTCCAGATTGTACCACCATAATCTGAAAGGAAAAGGCAGTGGTTTAACTCAGTGGCATTGCATGTTTTTATTGGAATGTCTGTTTGCAAACTGAGAACTTCTGCTTTCTGTTCAGATTTCAGTTGCGTTCTTGCCCTCTGGGTCTACAATTTCAAAATGACAATGAAATCACCACTGTATAGTAGCGCACTTGCAGGGGACTTTTGTGGTGTAGTGGTAGCGTCTCTACCTATGGGCCAGAAGACCTAAATTCAAGTCCCATCTGATCTGGAGGTGTGTTATGGCATGTCTAAACAGACTAATTAAAACAGACTATATTAATACTGAAAAAATACATTTTGTCTTGCTCTCATTAGGACAATTTGACATTAATGGCATATTGTGAATTGTCCTGAAGAATGCAAGATGTATAACTTCTATAAAATATCTTTTCTCTGAAATACACAACCAATCTATAGTGTTACATTTTATCCAATTCTTACTGAATTATTTTTGTCTTGCTTACATACTTTAACATGGACTTGTAAAAATATTATAATAAATTATAATAAATATTGCTGAAAATATACTTTTCAAGGTGTACCTGTGAAATCTGAAGAAGATGTAATCACGTTGGTTATGAAAAGTTGCCACTTGGCGTCCCACAAACTGTGGACTGTAAGGAAAGAGAGAAGCAAACATTCTCCCAATGCTGTGTCCCAGACGGGTAGAGAAATTGTTTAGGATCACTTCTGGTGAGTGTTTTGTCGGATCCTTCCCTCTCCTCTGCAAAAGAAAAGAAATCACAGATTTGTATTTTATACCTTCCTTTTGAAATGTGTTCCCAACCAAGATGCGTAGCTCATTAAGTATCACACACTCCTTAAAAAAAAAGGAAGTTTCAGTAATGTCAAGAAAAATCTATTCCAACAAAACATTTTAGCCACCTGGTTTAATTGATTTTTCTGAAGAAGGGTCACTGGACTTAAACATTAACTATGCTTTCTCTCCAAAGATGCTGCCAGACCTGCTGAGATTCTCCAGCAATGTTTTTGATTGCAGCATCTGCAGTTCTTTGTTAATATTATGGTTTAATTGGTCACTGCTTAATAAATTAAAATATCCAAACAGACTACACAGGCACTGTAAATGTCAATGAAGATCAGCAGTCTTAGAGTATGATCTCCACTATCATGTATACAGTAACAGTCTAAAAATGGTCTATTGACAGACAGTAAACCTTCACCTTGCAAAACATCCCACATTGTCTGTTTGTTAGGGATATCGGTTGAAAAGTTCAAATGTGACAAGAATTAAAATGCAATTCTACAGTCCACTCACAGTTTATATTCATTTACACCAATAATTACTTCAGCACGAAGCGGTTTGGCAAAGACACTGGCATACTGGTAATGTCACTGGACTAGCGATGCAGAACTTCAGGCTAATGGTCTCGGGACTTGAATCCCACCAAGGTAGATGGTGAAATTTGAATTCAATAAAATCTGGAATAAAGAGTAAGTTTAACTATATAACCAACGTCGACTGTCATGAAAACCCATCTGGTTCACTAATGTCCTTTAATGAAGGAAATCCGTGCATACTTGGTCTGGCCTACATGTCACCTTTTTCGGACAGGATATTATTAAACTGGAGATGGTTCAGAAAAGATTTACCAAGATGTTGCTGGGAATGGAAGGTTTGAGATAATAAGAACAGACTAGAAAGCTTGGGACTTTTTTCACTGGAGTATGGGAGGTTGGGGGTGACCTTACAGAGGTTTATAAAATCATGAGGGACATAGATAAGGTGAATGCCAAGGGTCTTTTCTCTAGGGTGGGTGAGTTGAAAACTAGGGGCATATACTTAAGGTGAGAGGAGAGATACAAAAAGGACACAAGGGGCAACTTTTTTTTTTAAAACAGAGTGGTTTGTGTGTGGAACGAACTGCCAGAGGAAGTGGTGGATGCCAGTACAGTTACAATGTTTAAAACACATTTGGATAAGTTCATGAAAAGGAAAAGTTTGGAGGGACATGGACCAAGCACAGGCAGGTGGAACTAGTTTAGTTTTAGAACAAGTCGACATGGACTGGTTGAACCAAAGGGTGTTTCTGTGCTGTATGACTATGACTGCAGACACACAGCACTGGGCAACAAATACTAACCTAGCCAGTGACACCCACAACCCCAGCAACGTCAACATTCCATTGAGATTCAGCATGAAACATTGGCTCAAACAAGGTAAAACGGTTAGATAGCAAAGCCATTCTACAATTCCCAGTACACACTAAACAAGGTTCCTCAATGTCTCACCTTCAATTCTTTTGCTAGACGCATGTTAGACATCTTGAAATGTGCTGTTGGCCCATCGGGAAGGTGGCTAACAATTAAACCATCTTTCAGCCCTGGTTAAGGAAGTAGGCGTTTTGTTTTTCAGGAAACTTCACAAAATGATGAACTGGAAAACAAGTTGCTCTTCAATCTCTGGAAGATGGATTGCTTTTTAACATACAGGGCAGCGGATGGGTTTGGGAGACTTAAACTTACAGCATCATCAACTACCACTTTTAATTGTTACACACAGAATTGTCACTAAATGATTAATTAGGCAGGTCAGTGTTAAATATTAAATACTTAATACTGAATTGCTGGGTCAAAGATCATGGAACTCACTTCCTAACAACATTGTGCATGTTCATACACTCCTTGAACTGCTGCGAGTCCTTGGAAGCAGCAATTAGCAATGGGCAATAACGTACATCCCATGTGCATATGAACTATGGAACCAAGCTGAATAGGCTGTGCGTACACAGAATATTTTATTATTCTATAGAGAATACTATAGAGAATTGGTATACTGTGGGAAACCAGTAAAGTTCTCAGGCCTAGAAATACTACAAACACGACAATGTGAACACAAGCATTACTGTCATTCCCGTGCATGCCACAGCATTGAGTGTACTCATCTAACTTACATGTAGAGAATCTCTCAATCGCTAGATTTTAATCTTTCAGCTTCTGAATTGTTTGCAACCTACAGCTGTCATGAATCGCTTGCCCAGTTTCTATGCTGGTTAGATGCTGTGTGATGCTGTACCAAGGCTCAGCATAATGCCCTACAGAAGAGGTGGTGATGGTGAAGATGCTTATGGTACAATCTTTGATGACAAGTACTGACAAGGACAGCTCAGCTCACTCACCTAGAAAAAAAATCCAACAACATCACACGTGCCATATCGTAGCTGCAAGGGTGTCAGCCACAAAGAGAGCGACCAGTGTTTCAGGTTTATCAGGCAAGGGAGGGGCCCACAGAAGGAAATTAGTGAAGTGGTTGTTTTTAAAAACAACAACTAGGACTGCTTTTGTGGTGATAAAAATATTAAGTTTAACTTTACAAACTTTTACAGGTTGTAACAACGGGGCTACAACATACAAACACACGAATGAAAATTAGGCTGACTAACCCCGCAAGCCTATTGCATGCCTCAACTCCACACTCCCACATACCCTGATAAAAGGGGAGGCAATGGCTTAGTGGTATTATCACAATTTAGACTATTAAACCAGAAACTCAGCTAATGTTCAGAGGACCTAGGTTTGAATCCTGCCACAGCAGATGGTGGAATTTGAATTCAATAGCCAAAAATATCTGGATTTGAGAATCTACGAATGACCGTGAAACCATTGTTGATTGTCATAAAAACCCATCTGGTTCACTAATGTCCTTCAGGGAAGGAAATCTCATCCTCGCCTGGTCTGGCCTGCACTACATGCGACTCCAGACCCACAGCATGCAGTCGACTCTCAACTTCTTTCTGGGCAATTAGGGATGGGCAATAAATGCTGCCTAGCCAGTGACGCTCACATCCTGTGGACAAATTAAAAAAAAACTTTGAATCTCACGTTAGATCCGTGACGAATTACTTCTGCCTTAAAATGATCTCACCTCCACTGTTGATTCCATTCCTGACCTGTTCCTTTCAAAGCTGAAGGGTCTAACATCCCCCTATAATACCTCACAATCAGATTATCACAGTTAGTCAACACAAAGTCTGTCTGTCTCAAGCATTCCCACTTACGTTTCAAATAAACTATGCTGGTGAAATATACTACAAAGTGACAGATTGCATTTTTACACTGACAGTCACCATTCTAGCACCGTGCAACATAAGGCAACATTAGAAAAGAAACCATCAGCAATTATCCAAAATTCGTGGTGGATGAACAAACACAGTGACAAGTCTGAATTTAAATCAAAATACTGAAAAGCTGGAAGAAAACTCATCTAAATTTTCAAAAACAAGCTCACAGACGTAAAAGATACTCGGTACTTTCCGATCTTCATTGATGACGAGTAAGTCTGTAAACTCTCTGGCCACACACTGCGGTATGATCTTTTTCAGAGCCAATCCCCTCCTGTAGTAGACGTGAGAGTTTGGCACTACCTTTGCCAGCTGCTCACATAACCTTACTGTTCTCTGAAAGATAAAATCACGCGGACAAAATAGCAAAATATGAAGTGGCCGAGGGCACAAACAAGGACATTGTGACTAGGTGCTAAAATCACGAGACGTTAAGAGTCTGTAACTTGCTGGAATCTGTCCAGACTAAGTCGATACATGATGACAATGGGGATCAAATAATATGGACAACAACCGCAAGCAGGAAAATAACCGACCAGATCAAATTTTAGGAATTCTGGGGTAACTTGCCTTCTGACTCAAAGAATGTCCTCCATTACTAATGGAAAGAGGTAGATATCGGGGAGACGTCAGAGGTAGGTTCTTTACTCAGAGAGTGGTCGGGGCGTGGATTACATTGACAGAGAGGGTAGTGGAGTAGGCCTCATTAGGGGCATTTAAGCGGCTATTAGATAGGCATATGGATGATAGTATAAGGTAGCGGTGGAGGTTAGATAGACCTTAGGTTTAGGGTAAAAGTTTGGCACAACATCGTGGCCTGAAGGGCCTGTACTGTGCTGTACTGTTCTACGTTCTACTAAGCCACAAGTCAGGAATGTGATGGAAAATGCTCCACTTGCCTGGATGACTGTAACTCCAACAACACTCAAGAAGCTCAACACCATCCAAGAGAAGTGAAGAAGGATCACTGGACCTGAAATGTTTACTGCGCTTTCTCTCTCCATTGATACTGCCTGACCTGCTGAGTTTTCCCCAACAATTTCGGTTTCTGCTTCTGATTTCCAGCATCTGCAGTTCTTTGTTTTTTAACATCCAAGACAGAGCAGGCCTGTCTGATTGCCACCACATCCACCACTGACATTCAGTCACAGCAGATTGTACCATCTACAGGACGTATTGTACAAACACACCTAACCTCCTTCGACAGTGCATTCCAAACCCATGATCGCTGCCACCTCAAAAGGACAACAACAGCCTGGAAATACCAGCTGGAGGTTTCCCTCCAAACCATTCTGACTTGGGAGTTTTTGAGTCGTTCCTTTACTGTTGTGAGAGAAAATTCTTGAAACTTGTTCCCCATGAGCAGTGTGTGTGTCTTTACATCGCACGGGCTGCAGCAGATTTTCCAGGGCAATGTGGGATAGGTAATAATAATGACCAAACTCAACAAAGAAAAAACAGGTATATGTAACAGATTTCTAAAATATTCTAGCGTTTTCAGGTGGGTAGGGAAATAAAAACAAATCTATGGAAGTAGAAGCAACGATCGGTAGCTGGTAGAGATGAGCTTTAGGAAGATTTTAGAAGAGGATAGGATCTGGCCTAGTGGTGATGTCACTTGAATAATAGCCCAGAACTCCAGGTTAATGTTCAAATCCCACCATGGCTGATGCTGAAATTTCAATTCCATAAGAATCTGGAATTAAAGCTAGTCCAGAGGGAACTATGTAGTCATTATCCAACGCTAATAAACGTGGACTTAGCCAGTGGCACGCAGATCCCATGGATGAATTTTAAAAATGGAGAGGCATTTCAGGACAAAGTTCCAGAGCAGAGTCAAGTCTCTGACACCAACTGTCCAGTGGGGAGAGAGAGAGAGAGGGAAGGAGGAGGGAGGAATAACAGGTCAGAAACCAGTCTTATACTTAGAGAGTGAACCTTCTGTCAGGGCTGAATCATAGGAGGAACACGAGCAAGTGCATCTATATGAGAAAAACTTGCACTGACATCCCTTTTACAGACACCTCTTGCCCCATTAGTATTTATTTTCACACACCCCTCGAGGTCTGTCAGATGTGGTAATGAGGATCTTCGGACTTGTTTTTCGATTGAAGTAGGAAGAAAATTCATCTGTTGCTTCATCGAAAGCCACCTGCGGAAGTTCGATTTTATGTTTAAATAAACTGTCTGTACATTCTCCCGACTGAAAGCATGCATGATTACTCAAGGGGACGATATTTGTCTGGCTTCAATCTCGCCTAGTTCTCAGTTTGAGATAAACTTTCTTATATTCAAAACATTTTCCACACATTAGCCTCTATATTGAAGCAGAAGCATCAAAACATTGCCACTACACACTAATCTGGTCAACACCCATTGGAAAGGAAGCATGTGAACCCCACCCTTTGACAAATAGTGAACCTTAGGTGAAAGGATTTAAAAGATTTTAACTTGAAGCCAATTGGTGTTTAATTCTGCGATAACATAACAAGCAATACTCGGCTTTCAAATAAAATGCAGCAAGGACAACACATTAGAAGGGGCCTCTTACACTGATCGACAAGGAGTTTGAAAGAAGTTATAAAATTACCTCTTCGTCATTTGGGTCCACAGTTGTTTCATCATACACTCGTTGGTTTTCAATGGTCTTTGGGACTGATTTTGGTGGTGCCTTGGACACAAAGGTGTAATCAGAAAGAGCAAAGTTACATTCACTTTAAGGCAAATGACCCACACTTCATGGTTTAACTTTTTAAAACGATCGCATACAATCCCGCAAACCAGTTTAGGCTGCATGATGTCCTCAGCCACAAACCTTTAATGTGAACAGCCTAAAATTAAAACCTTCCCAAAATTAAAAAAAGCAAGCTCCCCTATTGCTTACAAATGACTCAAAATACAACATACATTCACATCTCAACAGTTTGTGCACATTGTGCAGCACTGTGGTGAACATCACTTGTGTCACTGCTGCACAGTGTGAAATAGCTAGTTTCACCCAGGCCACCTGATTTAAAATTTAAACAAAGCTTGGAAATTAATATTAACTCATGCATTCTCCATGGCAACACCTCTACCAGTCTACTTGCCAATGTCAGCAATCTTCTCTCATACTGCGTACCTTTATTTTTGCATGCTCCTTGTGAATTGTCCTGATAGTGCAAGACAATAAGCTTTGACAAAATGTGTCTTTTTTTAAAACAATATTTGTGTTCCGTATTACCAAACAGCTACTGTGCAGCTTAAATATAGAAACCAATTATCTATACTACACAGCACTGCTTTCCTGGAAACCACTCTGCCTGCCCCAACCAACCATTGGTGATACAGCTATGTACAAAAATGAGCCAGAACGAATCAGAACAAGCCAAAAAATAAAGATTTATTTGGAGCAGCAACAATTGACCTTACGGTCTTAATGAAAATCTACCAAACTCAGTTTAACATTGTCAATTTTCGGGTTCTTGTGGTGGAGCCGTACCTGCATATGTCAAGTCCCACCTGCCTCACATATACGTCACCACATGTGAGCAGATTGACAAAAAAAAACATCTAAAATTGTCAAATGACCTCTGCAAATTTTTGAGTGGACCCTCAGATCTCCACAACCCTCTGAGAAAGCTGCTTTTTGGCACTAGCTCCGAACACCCTGACTTTAATACTGAGTTTCCATTCGGTTCTTTTTGGGCAGTTGTGAATAAAACTGGGCTAAACAGTGAACCCAAACGGGAGCAATATTCTAGCTCCTTCAATGCCAATTGAAAGGAGTTTACATTCAATAAAATTTGTAATGAAAAGCAACACAGAATTATGCAGCACAGAAGGTGGTAGTAATGAGTCCTCAGTGCTGGTATTCTCTTCATGGTATCTATTCAAGTAGTTCTAATCTCCTGCACTTTACCCCAGCCCTGCAAACAATTCCACTTCAAAAATTAACGAATTTCCTTTAGAATACATGTTTACTAAAACTGTATCCTTTTCAGTTGTTGCACTCCAGATCTTGGCAACTTGATACATGAACATATTTCATCGTATATTACCTCAAGTTCTTTTGCTAATTACTTTACGTTTGTCTCCACTAGAGACAATGAATAATTTATTCCTAAAGTAGTTATAACCAAAAATTGCTCCTACCTAATCAAGATATAGGCCATCCAAGTCTTCATACTTCTAAACTTACCCCTTGTTAACTAAACTCAGGTTACCCTTTAAAAAGGGGGATCTGTGGCCATGGGTTACAGGAAGGTTACAGACACTCCTGCCCCTGGATCTGGTTTCTCCCTAATTATCCTATCAAAACCTCTTACAACATTAAGCAACCTTGGTAAGTCTCTGCTAAATGCTCTCTATTCCAATAGCAATCCCACCTCCTCCAGTCTACCTGCATAACTGAAGCAGAGCAGCACAACAGACCTCAGGGAAACAGTGGTGCTGTGGAAGTGTCGCTTGACTAGTAAGGACCAAAGCTAATGCCCCTGGGGGAACAGGAACAAATCGCATCACCGCTGCAAAGGAAGTTACATTCAACAAGCAAAATCTGGAATTAACTTTAATTAAAATTAAAAACTCAGTAATGGTGACTATCATCTCTGAAACTATCATTAATTGTTGTAGAACCCCATCTGGTTTACAGTTACCTTGGTGGGAAGAAAATCTGCTGTCCTTGCCAGATCTGGCCTACACGTGACTCCAAACACAGCGATGCGACTGACTCTTAACTGCCTTCTGAAATGGCACTAGCAGTGACTCAGCTCAAGGGCAGTTAGGGATACAGCAACAATTCCTAGTCTTGCCACCACTGCCCACATTCTAAAGGAGAGAAACATTTTGAACTTGTACAAAAAATGATAGTTACCTTGTCTCCAAGTGCCTCCCTCTCTTTCTGCCGTTTCTTTTTAGCTGCCAGTTGCTCCTGAATAATAACAATAGGTTAAGTTGTAAAATAGGTTTGAACCATCTAAAATCAGAAAGTTCAATACAATCTGGTCTCCACCTGTCCAAAACTCTAAACAAAATATTACCTATTGATCTATAATTGCTTCGGTTCCTTCTTAAACACAATGTAGAAGATCAGTGGAAGGAAAAACCTGTTGGGACTCCAGCTACGGTTATCACTTAAGATCAACATTTCGGGAAAGGCACGATCCCGAGAGTCAATGTGAAAACCGTTAAGTGTAATTAAGTGCTGAGAAAGTCCAATGGAATTGTGATGACACTATGGCTTTAAGAGGTGTATTTTGTCTTGGGGTTTTTTTTTGAAGAGAGGTTTGAAGTCAGAGGTACCGAGCTGTCTACTGAAAACCCATAAAGTAAACAGCTTGTGAGGCCTTGGGGATTTTTTTTCAAAAGTTGGAATAATAGAAGCAGCCTGAATGGGTGCTTGCCCCACCCACAGAACCAGGATTTTTAGTGTTTCAGGAGCAGTTGCTGGGGTCTTGAAACTGGATGTAGAAGCTGTGTTTCCTCTCTCTGTTATAGCTAAAAGATAAGATTCTCTCCTTGTCACTCAGTCTCTCGAATTTTCTCTTGATGCTTTTCTTCCTGGATTGGAGAATTGCCTGTGAGACAATCTATTTTCTTGAATTTGCCTCTGGCAAGGGTGTATTTATGGGATATTACTATATTGGAACAGTTACTCTTTAGTAGTTAAATAATCTTTCATTCTGTTAAGTTTCCAATAAAGTTAAGGTTTTCCAATTTCTTCTTTCTTTTATTGTATGTTAACTATGTGAATTGTAATGTCTAGCTTCAAATCTGGTAGTTTGACCAATCAAAGTGCATCTGGAACGCAATGTCTGACACTACCTTTAAAATAAGAAAAAGTTAGGGTCTACTTAGAATCTTCTTCATATATTTGGAGGGAATTTGGTTTGGTCCATAATAGAATTCAGGCCTGGCTTCACCAAACAGGGCTGACCAGGTCAGTTACTACAACCTCATAAAAAAAAAACATTTATATAGTACCTTTCACTGTCCAAATATTTCTAAATCCTTCACAGCCGATGATATACTGCTGAAACATGGTCACTGTTGTAATGTAGGAAACCTGCATTCAGTTTGCCATGTTTCACACACACTGATGTAAGAATTGTCTAGTAAATTGGGAGTTCACAGTGTTGGGTAAAAGATAAACAATGGTCAGGGTATTAGGGAGAAATTTACAGCTCTATTTCAAACTGATGCTATGGCATCTTTGATGTCCACTTGGTTTTCATGCCACATTTAATGAGCAGCATCTCTTGATAGTGCAGCATTCCCCTCAATACATCCCTGAAGTGTCAACCCATGTATAAACAACTCAGGAGCATCAGCAGCACCAAAACTATTCTTTTTGACACTGTTCCTGATGCCAATGACAAACCAGAAGCTCAGGTCAGCAAATGACCCGAGTCTGTGGTACAGAGAGATGCTCAGCCTAAATACAAATCTTACACCAGTAGCTTTTGCTGAGCAGGCTCAAAGAGCATTAAAAAGGACAGTGACAATTCAACAAAACCAGTACGATTCTCTTCCAGAAACATTTCAATGTAAAAGAATGTTATTGTGGTTAGACTCAGATACAAGGCATTCTGAAGGCAATCCTTAGTGAATGCACCGAATTGTAATGAAAGAAGCCTTTAAAAAAAAGAAAAATACAACTCCAGGGAGAGAAAATAAATTCATCTGAAATCAATCTTTCATAACGCCACCAAAACACCTGTCAAATATTTGTATAGTCCCACATGAAAGGGTTCTAAACCACCTAGACTCTCAAACACTAAGCTTCCTCACCTCACTGCACCAATTGCAACACTGAAAGAAATAAGTTAGGCCATACTGGTGTGTTTTTCTAACTGCAGTACTGTCACAATGACTGTTTACTATATTAGCAAAGAACCTACATTTCATAAAAATCCTCATTAGCTCTTCTGAAATAAATTATCGTGCTGAAGCCAAGACAAGATTATGTAGATAAAATTGGCAGCTGATTTGCACCCTGCCCGAATACACCAACCGTAAATTGAGAAATAAGAAAATATACCCCTTTCCAATCGAAACTAATTCAAATATATGTGGTGGTATTAGTTGAAAGACTGAGTGAAATCACGAAGAACTGTCCCATGCTTCTTCAAATAGCATGGGGGGGGGGACTTTTATTTTTATATCCAGCTAATTGCAAAAGGGCTATTCTGACAATGCCACACTCCCCCGGTATAACTTCAGCCCTTTTGTCTGTCCTTCCAGGCAGCAGAAGCTACAAGTTCTGAGAAGTAACCTAGTCAAGTTCCTGAAGTATTTTCCATGGGCGCAGCAACTTAAATAAATGGAGATAATTCCAATATCTGAACCCCGTTGACACTGAACAAAATTCCTCTGACAGCTTAGCTGTAACACAACACTTCAAATTCCTCCCATTAGCAGAGACAGACTTACAAGTCTTCGTCTTTTAATAAGAAGTGGGTCAAAATATTCTCTCCAGTCCATTTGGAGGCACAAAATAAAGACAGGGTGTTTCTTGTGGCTGAAGATGACATGATGAAAATTTCACCTTACTGTTAGTAAACCTGCAAGACCATAGTTGTGTACCCCCATGATTACATGTCATAGTATATGCACTGGATGATAGTTAAACCAGTTTTACAGATATTGGAACCACAAGCTGATAATAGCCTTAAAGACAAGCGGCAATGTATCCAAATAAACCAGGAAAATATTTGCATTTTCAGACAGAGCTAGTTAAATTCCACAGAATATTTGCAAGGCAAGTGTCTCACTGCTTGCAAAAAGGGAACCTAGTTTTAATTTCCAACCAAAACAGAAAAACTGCAGAAAGCTGCAACACAAAGGGACTGGTGGGAGCTTGTGCATAAAACACAGAAAGCTAGCACATAGGAGAAGCAGGTATTCAGGAAGGCTAATGGAATGTAGTGCTTATTTCAATGGGATTGGAGTACAAGAGTAGGGAAGTCTTACTGCAACTGTACAAGGTGCTGATGAGCCTGCATCTGTGCGCAGTTTTGGTCCCTTTATTTAAGGAAAAACATCATTTCATTGGAGGCAGATCACAGGGATGGTCACTAGGATGGTCCTGTCTGATGAGATGGTCTGAAGAGCAAAGGCTGATCAGCAGGCCAGGCAGCATCAGAGGAGCAGGACCCTTCTTCAGAAATGGGGGAGGGGGAAGGGAGCTCCAAAATAAATAGAGAGGAGGGGTGGGGCTGGGGAAAGGGAAAGGTAGGTGGGATGATGATAGGTAAGTGCAGGTAGGCAGTGGTGGGGATTGGTCAGTGAGGTGGGAGGAGCGGATAGGTAGGAGAGATGATGGGGGGTTGTGTCGGATCGAGGATGCGGGGATGAGAGGGAGGGTTGGTCATGGGATGAGGCTGGGGATGGGGAGATTTTGAAACTGGTAAAAACCACATTGAGACCATCGGGCTGTAGGCTCCCAAGGCGGAATATGAGGTGCTGCTCCTTCAATTTCTGGGTGGCGTCATTGTGACACTGGAGGAGGTCCAGGATGGACATGTCACCCAGGGAGTGGGAGGGGGAGCTGAAATGGCTCGCTACTGCAAAGTGTGGTCCTGCTGTGCTTCTCCAGCTCCACACTGTGTTATCTCTGACTCCAGCATCAGCAGTTCTTACTACCTCCCCCTCAAAGGCTGATCAGTTTGGATTTTACTCACTGGAGTTGAAGAATGAGAGGCGATCTCATTGAAACACAAAAGATTATAAGGGGCTTGACAGGTAAATGCTGAGAGGATGTTTCCCCTCATGGGAGAGTCTAGGACTAGGGGGCATAGTCTCAGAATAAAGGGGCATCAATTGAAGGCTGAAATGAAGAGGAATTTCTTCTCTCAGAGTTGAGTGTCTTTGGAACTCCTTGTTATAGCGTGGGGTAGAGTCCTTGTGTATATTTAATGCTGAAATATATAAGATTTAAAAACTGCGAATGCTGAAAATCCACAAAAACAGAAATTGCTGCAGCACCAGTGGAGAGAAATCAGAGTTAATGTTTCGGGTCCAGTGCCCCTTCTTCAGAAATAGATAAGTAAGATTGTTCATCAGTTGGAGTTAAGGGAAAAAGGCAGGAATGTGGACGTAAGGAATGTCAGGCCAGCCAGGATCCTAACAAATGGTGGAGCAGACCCAAGGACCCAACAGCCTATTCCTGTAAATAGGACTCAAACAGAAGCAGTCTGCTACATCAACTGATGATTTTTTTCGAGGCAAGGATCATTATCATAGCTTGGATTTCCAGAATGGAAGGCATTTCTACCTCACATCCCTCAAAAGTAAGAAACTGTTCATCGTCAATGTGAAGTAATTTCAAATCTGTCCTGACAGAGATAAAACAGCCATGTTTTTACATCTCTTTTATCAACATGTAAAACATGAGAAAAACCAGAAACAAAGTAACTAAAATTAATACTTAAAACAATGATAATATAAGCACTGAATCACCTCCCTCTTTCTAACTTACATCTATTATAAAGAAATGAGAACTGTTCAATCCTTTCCTCAAAACAAGCAGTAAGTTTAGCTCATAATAAAACAAAGACCTACCAATGCTGGAGATTGGAAACAAAAACAGAAATTCCTGGTGAAACTCAGCAAGTCAGAACTGACAAAAGAGTCAACAGACATGAAACATTAAATCTGCTTTCTCCCCATAGCTGTAGTCAGACCTGAGTTTCACAAGCAATTTCTGGTTTCACTGTGTGATCTTAGCCTGTTGTGCACACCCAGTTCCCATGTCCCTTTGTCCCCCAGTCCTTCAGTGGCCTATCAATCAACTAAACACCAACAACGTAAAGAACAAAGGACAATACTGCACAGGGACAGGCCCTTTGGCCCACCAAACTGTGCTGACAAAATGCCTTCCTAAACTTAAAAACCCAGGTATTGAGTCTGTTATATTTCTTGAGGGAAGCC